GCCCGGAGTAATGGTTAAATGCTTAATTTGGTCCTTTAACTTTATGAAATACACATTTTTGGTCCCTCAATAAATTTTTGCACTTTTTTGATCCCTCAACTATACAAAATGCACTCCATTAATCCTTCTGTTAATTTGGGCCGTTAACCCTACTTAGGTGGCATTTTTTATATTTTTTTTGATAATGTGAAGAGCAAAACTTAAAAAAGTGATGATATGCATAAAACTTCTGCCATGTCACATGCTACTCTGGCAAAATCGCGCCAAATCCATCCAAATGGATCCCACATCACCACTAATAATTGCTTTTTTGCCCATTGGTTATTGTTTTTCTTCTTTCCATAAACAGTGTTTTTTCCATTTTTAAGATTGAAATTCGACAGAACCCAGCGGATCTGTGTTTGATATAACCTAGCAAATAGGTTCCATTGAATCCAGCTTGATTTATTGAATTCAATTGTCCAAAAATCCCTTACAACAACTTGCAATTGCCCAAAAATCCCTTGCAACAACTTGCAATTTGAATAATCTCTTGGCAAACAATCATATAACAAAAAAAAAAAAACCAGTTGCCCAAAAATCCCTCACAACAACCTGCAATTTGGATAATCTCTTGGCAAACAATCATATAAACAAAAAAAAAAAAAGTGGAGCTGTGTTCGACAAAACCCAGCCTGGGTTCGATGACCTGAGGAAGAAAGAAGAGGAAGAAAAAAAAAGAAAAAGAGAAAGGAAGAAAATGAATGGAATTTATTTATTTTATTTTTTTAAAATATAAATAGTAATCATGTGAGTTGGTATGAAAAAAAATTCCATGTCAACACGTTTTCAATTTGTTTTTGCCACGTTATCAAAAAAACTATAAAAAATGCCACATGAGCGAGTTAACGATCGAAATTAAAAGAAAGACTAACGAAGTGCATTTCTTAAAGTTTAGGGATCAAAAAAATGCAAAAAATTATTAAGAGACCAAAAATGTGTAACTCACTAAAATTGAGGGACCAAATTTAGCATTTAACCTTTGTTGTTTACATGTATTGGAGATTCACACTAGGCGGAGGGGCAGCAACAAAACTCTCTACACGCTTCATTTTTTTGTCCTTATTCACACATCCAAAACAGCATGTGATTAAAAAAAGGCCGGCGATTTATTGAAGCAAAGATCGCCTCGCTTCAATGACTACGACCCCCATGACTAGAATTTGACGAAACACTCCCCGAACTGTTACTCCCATTAAACAAATCTGACATGTAATTCCTCAGATCTTCAGGGGCAAATCTGACTATCGACTCGTTCCACGTTTGCTTCCTCAACCCCACT